CCGAGTCTTCGCGGCGCCCCCCGGCGCACACGGGGGCCCGCCGTCCACCTCGTCCTTGGCGTTGCAGTTCATCGCCATCGACCCCGGGAGCCGCTCTACCGGCACAGGGATCCCGCCCGGGAAACCCGGCCCAGACCCTGAAGAGACTCGGGCAGGGGCCGCCGCCACCGGTGAGGCGGAAGGGGCGGGACGTGAGTGACCAGAAATGGCAGCCCGCTGGCGCCGCCTAGGGGCCGGAGACCGGAAGGAGCGAAAAGACTGCGGAACTAGGGGAGAGAAAGGGAAGGTATTTCGGCGGGGGAAGGAAAAGGAAGAAGCACCTAAAGACTGCCATAGCGCATGCGCGGCGTTATCTCGGCGCGTAAATCCTGCCTGTTTCCGGGATGTCAGGAAGAAGTTGGGTAGGGGGTAAGCGCCACCCACTGGCCTGTCTGCGACTTCGGTGACGTAGGATTTGGACAGGTTTGTCTTTACTCCGACTCCATCTCTGAAGTGAGTCAGGGCCGGGGATTTAGCGTAGTGGTTCAGAGCTTTTCAAGGTGGTCTGAGCCCCGTGCGATTGGCGCAAAGATAAATTTAAATTGACGCGAGTGACACCTTTGGCTCTACATCAAGGAATCCATGTTGCTTGGTTAGCCTTATTATCTTGCCTCTCATTGAGCGATTGCCTCATACTTTTCCTTCGTTCTTAATTTTCCTGTTACTTTACCCTTTTCTGGGTCTACCATTCTCTTCTGCACGGCCTTTAGTAAGCTATGTGTTTGGGATGGTCTTTAATAATGGCAAGTTTTTAAAAATACAGTACTATATAAAATGCATACTACATATTTTAAAACTTCAAAGGAAATACTCAATACATAGTAAAGGTGACTAAGGATGTCAGAGTAATATAGATACAAGAAGTATAGAGCCCAACTAAAACGTATATAGTGGTAACCTTCATTAACTGGAGAATTTGTTTTCTGCTTCGTTTCACTTTCCTATATTTCCCCAAATTTCCATAATAAGCATATATTTGTAAAATTTAAACTATAGTCACTCGTTAGTCTTTGAAATCCAGACCAGAGAGTAAATCATCTGAAATATCTAAACCTTATATTTTAAAGACTGTCTACAGTTATGCCTTTTAGAAAGCAAACCCACACAGGGAAAACTTATAGAGGAACAGCGATACTCAACAACTAGGCCACACACTGAGAGGTCCGACTGGAGATTTTATTAGGGAAGGCAGGTTAGGGAGAGAGGAGAGAGGGAAGGTGGGGAAGGAGAAAAGAACAAAGAAAGGAAGGTCCTTTTATTGGTTTTGTTTATTTATGAGTGGGCTACTTTTAACCTATCACAGTCCAGGTTTCATTCCTGCAGAAACAGGTTTAACTTTTCCGGACCACTGTGGCCTTGCGGAGAGGGAAACTAAAGATAAGAGCGGGAGGTCATTTTAAGAGGCAAGAAGAACCAGGAGAATACAGCCTGCGATGGCAGCAGTGTCAGATCCCTAACAAAACTAAAGCGTGCTGCGTCCTCATAACTTAAAATTAAATGTTTTTTTTTAATAATCACCAATCTCAAGCATGTGACAATCAAATATTTTGCAGTTTGAGAAGAATGTAATGGTGATACCATCCAAGTACAGTACTGACTTTCTTGGGTTTGCTCTTAACAAGCTATCCATATCTCATAGATTCTTAGCACCACTAAAAACTTGGGTTCATATTTCAACGGAAGTTTACCTACAACCTTGGGCTCAAGTGGGAAACAGTCTGTCACAGTTTATGGAGAAGGCATGGAGTCATTTTTATCTTCTTCACCTCTGTTTGTTAGTAAAAGTCTGTATCACAGTGTTGGGCATAATCCAAAAGTGTGTAAGTTTTTTCTCCTCACTGCTGCCTTTGTGCTTATAGTGACTAAATGTGATAGCTCCTTAACTGATTCACCATTCCAGCTTTCTGTATTAAAGGTCACTTACAGCCACCTTCCATGTCCATGAGTTCTGCATCCACAGATTCAACCAACATATGAACAGAAATATTTAGGAAAACATTTGTGTCTGAGCTGAATGTGTACTTTTTCCTCATCATTAATCTCTAGACAACACATTATATTATAGCAACCATATACACAGCATTTGCATTGTACTATGCATTATAAGTACTACAATCTCGAGGTAATTAAAAGTATATGGGAGGGTGTGCATAGGTTATATGCAAACAACTAAGCCATCTGTCTTTGTCACTTTCTTGTCACTGGGGCAAAATACCTGACACCTACAACCTAAAGGAGGACAACTTTAAAGTCAAGACATGAGCAAAGTGCACACAAATTTTCTGCCATACCATAAAACACATGGCCTGGAGTTCACCTGTAAATGGAGTCCTTTTTCCAAACGGGAACCTCCTTAATCTGGTTTTTACCATCTGCATTTTTATTAGCATTCTGGTCTTCTGAGTTCTGACCAGAATAACCCTTCAAGCTATGTTTACAGCATTCCTAGTTCTGCTTCTCCAGCTGGCATTTCTGAATGTTTCCAACTCCTCACAAACCAGTTCCAAAGGCTTCTAAACCATATGATCAGGTAATAGTCACAGTAATGGCACCACTCCTGTTATCAAACTTTGTCTTAATCACTTTTTTTTTAATCACTTTCTTATCTCAGGGGACACCCACTGAAAGGGGTCACGCATGTCCCTTCAGGTGCCCCCTCCCAATCAGGTCACTCACGCAATGAGAGGTCCGGCAGGAGATCTTTATTGAAGAGAGTCAGGTGAGGCACAAAGGCCAGGAGGCGAAGGAAGGGAGGCGGGGCATAGGGTGGGGTGGTCTGAGTCAGAAGAAATGGGAGGGGTAGGAGATTCCGGAGGAGGGGAGGAGTCGGATGGTGTAGAAGGAGGGGTGAGTGGGTTTTTTGCCGTCCGGTACGGGGGAGGATCATCTGCCGGGTCTGGTTGAGTTGGGGGAGTCAGAAGAAGAGGAGTTGATGGTGGAAAGACCTTGGGTCAGCAGGAGTATTGGAGCAGTTTTGGCGGCGGAACAAAGAGAGGGCTGATTAGCAAGACAGGAAAAGCCTTGGACATATGGGATCTCCGACCATTTTCCTTGTCGCTCACATAAGTTGTAAAGGTCTCTAATTAGACCCGATTCAAAGGTGCCGTTAGGCGGCCAGACGTTTTGATTGCCTAATTTATATTGGGGCCAAATTTGAGTAGACAAATGAATTAGCCTTTTGGGTTTTAAGTCAAGACCCTCCAAATTCCTAAGTAAGCATCCCAAAGGAGAGTCGGCGGGTATAGAGGAACCAGAGCCCATGACCACCAGGACAGGAGGTTATCAGAAGACCAGACGTCTCTGAGAGTTCTGATAAAACTCCTCTTTTTCTAGACCCGGTCTAGAAAGCTGAAATTCGGTCTCCTGTGAAGGCGACCCTTACGCGAGATAGGAATTTATGTGAACTAAGTCCCAGACTTAGTTCAGTTGAGTCCCGGACTCAACGGAGGCAAACCTGGTTTGCCAAAACTGAGGGACGGAGGACCTGGGCCCCGGCCTTGTCCCGACGTGGTCCTTGTGGGTGGTCTGGAGTCTGGGGTCCCCGTTACCCTGAGGACTTCTCAGAAAGGGAAACTTACCCAAAAAGGTGTGGGTCGGAAGATCAGTAGGTCGGTGATGGCTGCAAAGATGGCGATGAGGAGAATGGTCATGGACGTCGGGCGGAGGTCGAATAGGGGCGCCCTGGAATCTGGGTTTCGGGCCCCAGGCGTTTAGCCCGTGGACCTGGCAATCCCAGATCCCACTTCTGACACCAATGAAAGGGGTCGTGTGTGTCCCTTCGAGCGCCCCCTCCCAATCAGGTCACGCACACACCAAGAGGTCCGGCAGGAGATCTTCACTGAAGGGAGTCAGGCGAGGCACAAAGGCCGGGAGGTGAAGGAAGGGAGGCGGGGTACCAAGGGAAGGAGTGTTGGCTCATTTATAGGGTCTTGGGTGGGAGTTTTGCAATTTTAGGGGAATTAGCTGTTTTTTAACCTATTGCAGGCCACATTGCCTTATAAGGTCTTAGTCCTGCAGGAGTCCCTTATCAGATGTTGGCGTCATTTCTGGGAAGAATTCAACTCGGGGGAGGAAAACGAAACTTAAGTTGGGAAAACGAAACAAGTTAGGAAGAACCCGGAAGTCAGGTATAAAATGGAGGAGTTTAAAGTAACATGTACAATTTCCTAACACCCACAACTTAAAGGAGGAGAAGTTTATTTTGGCTCGTGCTTTTAGTCCATAGTTGACCAGTTTCAAGGCGGAAAAGCGTAGCAGAAGGGCATTTCAGGAGGAAAAGCTACTCACATCAAGGAAGTCAAGATGAAGGAGAGAGCTGGAGAGGGAGATAAACCCTTCCTGGTTATGCCGCCCACACCCTCATCTTTTGATCTCCCAACAACACATCTAGCTATGGTTCCCTGTGATTCCATCACCTTTCAAAAGCTCCACGTCTGAGCATGATGTAGGGCTTACGATATAGGGATGATATATGGACTTCCAAATAAGGGAAATATAACTCCCAACCACTAGATGTCCAATATGCCGAGTTCATGTTTTCTAAAATTTAAGAATGAATTCTAAGAACAACAAAGGTTAAAAGTAGGAAGCATTTATTGAGAGGATGGTAGTTTTCTGTCTCATAGAGACAAATGGGGCCAGAAAGTGAGTCCCACTTCTCATGGGTGTTTTATAGAGCAAAACCATGAGGTAAAGCAGGTACAAGGTGGGGTAAAACTATAATCAACCTATAGGATTACAAGTACGGTGGTTTAGGTAATAGTTATCCAATGAAAAATCATAAAGTGGGTATGAGGTGAGACAAAAATATAGTCAACTAATAAGATTACAAATATAGTCACGTGGGTAATATTGATCCAATGGGAAGTCACAAGGTGGATACAAGGTGGGACAAAACTGTGGTCAACTAATAAGATTGTAGTGTAGTCATTTAGGTAATTTTGATCAAATGGGAAAGCAAATCACACAGCAGGCATACACAGAAGAAACAAGGACTTTCCAGGAAGGAATGGCCTACGGAGGTTTTGGTCCCCCGCCCAGAGTGATTGATGCCTATTTAGAATATCAATCACTGCCCTTCATCCCCAGGAGAAGTTGTGTGTTGGTGTAGTCAATTCTCTTTTCTTGAAGTCTGGCCTTCAAGCATGCTCCTCCAGCCACAGTTGTCCACTGCACTGACTTCTTGGAGGCCCAGACTTATCCGACAGCCTATAATGTTTCTCACTTAGCTGTCTATAATATCATTATGTATATATAAAAGGTACCAATTAAAAATACAGCTGGGGATTTAGCTCAGCGTTTTGGTGGCCTGCATTGCAGTGCAAGGACCGGAGTTCAATCCCTGGTACAA